CCGTCAACAAGGTTCTTTGACGCCATTTCCTCAATCTTCTTTGGGCTCATGTGGACAAAACGACGATGCCAGGTACAGAGGGAGGTAGGGGACAACCTTGACGACATAGCTTGAGGGCTGGGAGTAGCATCCAGGACGTACATGCCATCAGCGCCTCAGCCTGCAAAGATTTCGTTGCCAGATTGGTCACGGACGACAGCTCGACCATTGGAGAAGACTGTGGACAAGCTGGCTTTGTCTAGTGCGCTTACAGAGATGAGGTTGGCCGCCAACGAGGGTGAGTGCAGCGCATTCTTGAAGGTGAGTTTGACATCCTTCCCATCTAGTCTGAAGGTTTTCGTTGCAGTCCCTTGCCCAAGAATTTCAAAGGTACCCTTTCCTTCGACGGCGGACGAGCCAGTGCGAAACGCAACAGGTTTATAGTTTATAAAGTCCTCCCGGTTTCGGAAGAAGTAATCACTGGCCCCCGAGTCCATGAATGTCAGGGTAATTGCTGGGGTGCGTCCTTCAAACGTCGTGGTTACGAAAGCTGAGCTGGCAGGTTCAGCTTCGCACGTGAAGTGTCCTGTGGGCAGCTCGTCCTCGTCGTCGACCTCATCAAGCTCCTCATCGTCGTCGGTCACGGAGTCCATGTCACTCCCCAAGGTACTCCAATCTGAAAACTCATTGCTCGTTGTTGACTCAGTGTCGCCGTCTAGCTCATCCCACTGCCAGAAAGAACGTGTTCCATTCCACTCATAGATCTGTTCTCCCGTACTCCCATCCTCAATTATGAGGCCCTCATCATCACGGTCAACATCGACAGTAGTCATGCACGCTGCAAGGACAAAGTGTCTCATACCATCGGCCGTGTTGTTGCCCGAGGTCGCTTGGTTCGCATGTCTTGGTCGGCCGAAGTTAGGGGGGAACTGTCCCTCCTTTCCTCCGCCGGGCCAATAACAATTTTCTGTCGAGTGTCGGGTCTTATTGCGGGCCTTGCAATCGGGGTTGTGACACCCATGCGCAGGGGTGGGAGCTCCTGCAGCCGCGAGTGCCTGGGATTGGGATGGACCTTTACCCGCGGCACGAAGTGTAGCCGCATGAGTCTGGAGGTGAGAGATGACATTGCTAGACGTGGGCATTTGATATAGGCTCAGGAGGATAGGCATCCAGTTATCCGTAGGAACAATAGAACAAATGATTATTCCTTTGAACTCCTGGTCAGTGAGTGCTGCCGAACGAAGGTCATTTACAGCTCGTTGCTTGGTTCGTAAGTCAGCGACGTGAGCATTGATATCGGTGCTCCCGTCGAACTTTGTGGCGTTCAGCGACGCTTCCGCTTCGGATAGCGCCATATCTGTCTTCTTGGCGTGTTCGGCTATGATCAAGTCCCAACATTGTTTTGCTGTCCCATCGGTCCTGACCCCTAGTCCAATAGGGTCGAGAACGTTGAGTACAATGTGGGAATGAGCGAGCTGGTCACGAAAGCCCCATTCATCGTGCGATGGAGTCGAAGAGTAGATGGGAGTGGGATCTGGTGGTAAGGCTACGGCTGCTGGTGTGGTAGTGGTAGTGGTAGTCCCAGGGGCAGTAGGACGAGTGGTGGTTCCCTCAATGTAGCCCCAGAGGCCTTTTCCTTTCAGCAATTCGGTAATCTGAAGTTTCCAGGAGGCGTAGTTCTTCCCATTGAAATGACTGCTCGTATCAGGGAGTATAGTGACTCCCGATGTCGACGACATTGTTTGGGGGTGTGTGAGTGGTGATGAGGACCGTGGTGTGGTATGTGTGGTATGTTGAGTCGAAATCCGCTGCGTATTCTTCGTGACTGAATTATGGGCAACGGGGCCACATAACCTATTGATAGAAGAATGAATGTAAGAACTCAGTCTGGCGCAGTGTAGGCGAAACGACTGAGGTATGGAGTAACTACAGTGAGGTTATATAACTAAGATCAAGTAATGACAGGAGGTATGATATAAAAGGTAAGTAGGAACGAATAACGATCGAGAGGAAAATAGTATATGATATAGCGCACAAGCGGAACGGGACGGATATCCTCCAACAATTGCAGGGCATAATTTGGCTGGGGAAAGCATATAATTATGAAAGCTATTGGTGTCCTGAGTGTTTCTGAAAGGTATTGCAGGCTGATCAGTGTGAAGTGGTGTTAAACAAGCGGTAAACTTTTGTCATGGCTTTATGATAATGACATCACTGAATGACCGGACCATATAGTCCGAACCATGTGAGCTGTACTCGTAAGAGCTGGCCACGCATTGAATCGATTTGATGCCAATTTTGTTTGAATTCTGTCCAAGCAAAAAAAAAAAAACAGAACAAATCCAAAATGGAAACGGCCACCACGAGCCATGTCATTCCTATATCCAACTGTTGCGGATCTGTATGTTGAAATGGATGTCTCTCTGACTCTCAAATGCACCCTCAAACATGAATGAAGATATTTCAATGACCGGATAATTTCTGTATGTTCAAGCACAATATTATTCTCATTGTCATACTATAATATAAAAAGTCACTGTATGTGGCAGATTGAGAATTTAGAAAGAGAAGCAGGGTGAATGTAACCAGTTTGGACAGGTATAAATTTGGTAAGGATCGGCGATCCATAATAACCCCTGGCGCGATCCAATACTAATTTTGGGACCATATCGGTAACTGTCGGTCTGGCTGAGGTGTGGACGAGCGAAGCTCATCATCATTGACAGTGAGCAACGGTGTTTTGATTTGGTGCTCCGTTTTCGACCCATTTTGGATGTGACTGTAGGTGATATATCAATCAGTGACTGCAGGAATAGACCTTTGATGTATCATGGTTAACGGTATCTCACAGACTCTGATATATCACTCTGTATGGTAGTGGTGATCAAGCCACAACTTGTCGCTCCAATATTGAGAACATTCGTGGTCAACAATACGTGTTTGCAACGCAAAACCTCTGCAGAGAAATCTTTTATACCGACCTGTCATCCCTCCCCGGTCGGTGACGGGAATGTTTTCAATTTCGATATCATATCATATGGCTCCCTGCGTATCACCTTATATATACCAACAAAACACAATATAGATACAGAGGGAAGTACTCGAAAGTAACGATGGATAAGTCTGTAGCGTCACATATCATGCAGTGGCAAGTTCATACACATTGTAGCACCTAAAAATGGATTAGTAAGATCAGAGAAATCGCTGGAGTACAATTACAAGCCAAGGGACTTACAACGTTCCTTCTTTTCAGTTACAATGCGGCTTCGTAAGTCTTGTGTTTCTCCCAGATAGTCTTCAAAACATGCCCAGAACTCCTCTGATAAGAACGAACTGCCTATTGATGCGTGCACTGACACATGCTGTGGTAGGGTATCTACCATCCTGCCACCCTGTATCACTTTGAGGTGAACCGACAGTATAGTAGCCTCGGAGCTACGGTATCGGGATAAGAACAGGCCAGCCGCACTTATTCCCAGACCCACGTCTGTTAATTCACTGTAGATCTCCAAAGCTATGCATACCACCTTCATATACTGGAGCTGGGGAAGGATTGGGGTGTCGGCAATCATATGAAACAAGCCAAGTGTCGAGTCCATCGTATACAGAGTGACCTCCAAACATGTAAGCCTGAATGCCTGGTCAAATAACCAGTCAAAAGATGAAAAGCTCTTTTTGAAGTGAAGCGTCAGCTTCTGTATCGGGCATTGCGAGCGATGTAGGAAAGAGTGGAAGAAATCCTCTCCGTATTGTTCATCTTCCTCGACATCAGTATAGCACAGGTTAGCGGAGATTTCTTCCAGCGAGGGTAATGTGGCGAGGCGGAACAGGGATGGGTCCGCGACATCGAGTTGTCGTAGAGTTGAACATACAATGAAGTCGTCATGTTCTTCTGGCGCCCAAGCACCGCCGCTGCCATCGTCATCTTGCTTGGACATACGCAGGAACTGTAGATTGGGAGTGATGGAGAAGACAGCAAGCAGATCGTCGGGCTCAATCTGATAGTCTACGTATAGACTAGTTATCTGGGACCAAGGGAGAGGGAATTCGTTCACAAAGAATAGGCCTTCTCCCAGAGCCAACTCCCGCAAACGTGGTGCATGCTCAAAAGCACAGACATTCTCCCAAACAACTTCAGATTGAGATTCAGAAGAAAGCCTCAGCGTCTCCAACAAGGGAAGTCGACCTCGAAATTGCTCATAAATGTCCACCGTCACCCTGTCAAGTTCGAGTGACGCATGCTTCCACCTGTAACTTGTGGGAACCAAACATTCGAGCAAAGCAGGTATGTTTTGTTCGCTCCCACCCCAATTGTACTCCCTCAATTTGCAGCCGATGCTCAAATCGGCTTCGCGAGATCTGGCCAGCATGGTTTCCAACAACGGGACTAGGTTTTCACTTCGTCCGAACCATGGCATACCAATGCAAATTTGAGCCCATAATGAGGGTGTTGACAACACCGTCGCCCTCCATTCCCGGCAAACACTACTAAGCTTGCAAAGCTCCTTGTAGATGCAATTCATGTCGCGAGGGAGCCAACGACTGTCTTCAAGCGGTGGGATGATAATGGTGTGCTGGAAAATTGTGGCGAGAACCTCTGGGGGGAATTTGCGAAAGGACGACATCAGCGCCGAGTGGCTATCGGCAACGCTTTGGAGACGGATTTTCTCCTCTTGCACTTCTTTTAGGATGGCTTCGAAGCGCTGAATTTCTCCGTGGACCTTCTGCAGGTAATCGTTGATGAGAATGGCATCCTTGGCGGATGCGACGCCATTGACAGAGATCAGGTCAGGGAATGGAGATGGGTTGTCGGTGAGCCAGAGTGTCATACTGTCACAGAACTCGGAACCTTTGTTCGTCAAAGTCTGTGGGATGACAATTCCTACTGATTAGCTGGGTCAAAAATGTGCGGACACTCAATACATACTTACGATTCAGAGGGACCACTGCAAAGGAAGGACCTGGTGGTGGAAGGGCCAGTGCTTAGAAATGCGGGATACTCAAACGGTCTGCTACTTGTTTCCGATATGGTGTAACGGCTAACATTGCCGCCTTTCAATATTTCCGCGGCAGCTCGGGGTTCGATTCCCGGTATCCGAAATAGTGTATACAAGGAGACGTTTCACTTTTGATTGGCTTGGTGGAAGACTCAAATGTTGAATTCCGAGGTGGGGTAAATCATCTTGCCAAGTGCATTGTTGCTCTGTTGAAGATGCTTTTCTACCCTGTGGGAAGAGTCAACTGTTTGCTAAGTCGGCAGCAGAAGCGGGTTTTCATTTAATATATTTCATATTGTCTCCACTTCCTTTCTTTCCTTTTTCTTTGGTGGGGGCTATCGCAGAGGCGGTCCAGTGACACAGCAAGGTGCAGCCAATTACCTTTCTCCTGTGGATTTCAAGCCAAGCATCGGGTAATGATTGCGATATGGCGAAATAGATGCTATCCTCTCCGTTGAAAATGAATCCTTGGGTGGGATTCTTTGATACTTGTTGCTCGCCCATTCATTCGAGGAAAAAAAACCTACGAGCAGCGTGGTCAAGATTACTGATTGTTCCTGAGTGCACTGAGATGTCCCACCAAAATATCCATCGAACGGTACCACGTACAAATTGCATTGGAGGTATACAATACTATACATGCATATTAATACAAATGTCCATTGTCACCATCCGTAACAGAATGCGTCGGATTTAGTATCCGTAGTGGGCGTTCCAGCAAGAAGTGTCGTAGTACTTCTTGTCGTCCTTCTTGCCATCCTTATGGTCCTTGTCATCCTTGTCATCGTCACAGTCTTTCTCCCAGGTGTCAATGTCGATGATCTCGACAAACAGTTCACAGACGAACTTGTCATCCTTCTCATCGTGCGAGTACGCTAGGGAAACATGTTAGATAATTCGTAGCAGGAGTAAACATCAGACATACCCTGGCAAGAGTTACATTTGTCGTCCTTCTCGCAGAAGCTCTTACACTCTGGGGAGAAAATGTCAGTGACATGGATGAAGAATGCAGAGATGCGCTTACCGATCTCGAAGTTGATCTTAGTGACTTCCTTATGCTCGTAGGGAGTGTACTTGCCCTTGTTCCACCCCTTGAAGTCATTCTTGTGCTCAAACACCGGCTCCCAGGTGCAGTCACCACGACTACCATCCTTGCCCTTGTTTCTGTTGAAGTATTGCGCCTTTCATGTCAACGTTGTTATAATATTACATAATCGTAGCTACCAAATACTGGAGATCGAGGTCAACGCTCCTTAGCTTTTGACCTTCGTCTCCAGGTATGTATTACACTTTACTACTTAGAATGAACTAAGCTTTTGACCTTCGTCTCCAGACTGGCTTGTACTCGCTGCGCTACTGACCTGCTCGCAACAGGTTATGGGCCCCGCGCCTAACTAAGCCAAACAAAATTTTCGTTCCCTCTCGTGAACCTCCTTGTTCGACGTCGACGTCTCGCTCACACTCTCTGAAAGAACATCGCTATCCATTCGGAAGTCATATCCACCATCAAGGGCCCATCTTGCCTGATCCCATCGGTCTTCTCATTCCCACACCGAAATGAACGACTCAAATGCCGACATCACCAAGCGTGGATTCCCTAACCTCCATGCGGACAACTGGAATCAGTTCGCACCTTCTTTCGAAGCTTACATGTGCATCAAAGGGCTTTTTGGCCATTTCGATGGCACTGAGGACACGCCGGAACCAGAGGACCCTGACAACCCTACAAAGGCCGAGAAGAAGGAGATGAAGGCTTATCTGCAGGATCGTTCATCTGCCGCTGGATACCTCTGGCTCTGCATCGACGAATCACAGCGCGCTCACATCGGCCTCCTTATGGGCAAGCCTGATGCCATGTGGTCCAAGCTGAAGGACATCCACCAACAGCAAAAACCCGGTACTCGCTTCAATGCTTATGATACCCTGTTCAGCATCCGAAAGGATGATGATGAGTCCCTCTCTACCCTCGTTGGACGTGTCTCCAGAGCTATGCAGGACATCAAAGCCCTTTGCCCTGCGAAATTCACCATTGACCAGCTTGACGAAGAGCTCCAATCCATGACCCTCATCCGTTCCCTTCCATCTGACTTTGACAACTTCGTGTCATCTGTCCTCCTACTCCATTCTCTCAGCCTCGACAAGCTTGTCGCCGCCTTTCATACTGAAGAGACACAGCGCCGCTCTCGCGATACTGCCTCTGCGACATCGTTCAAAGCGATGGCTGCCAAGGCTCAAGCTGCCCTTATAGCTTCATCCGACACCATCTGTGGGTGGTGTACAAATCCTGGGCATACTGAGGAGCAATGCTTCAGCAAAAAGAAAGCCCGGGAACGAGCTGCGCAGCGTACTCAGGAACGTCAGGCCATGAAATCAGGCAGGAAGGGTAGGGAGGGAAAGATGGAGAAGTCAAGCATTGCAGAAGAGACTGCCAGCCAAGCGAGTATCGATCCCTTGTCTCCAGCATCATCTAACTGGAATACGGATACAGGCGCTTCATCTCACATGAGCCACCGTCGCGATTGGCTCCACATCTGGACACCACATGTTGTTCCGATTCGGCTAGCAGACAATTCAGTCATCTACTCAGCTGGCATGGGGACAGTTGTGTTTGAGCCGAAGGAGAGTGATGGAAGGGTCAGTGAAGCTGTTGAATTTCAGGATGTATTGCATGTACCCGATTTGCGCAATAATTTGCTTTCCCCCTTCCATCTCACTCGCCATAAGGGATATGAGATCAGCATAGCTGGATCATCTGTTCAGTTCTTTCAAGACAAAGTGCTTCGTTTCTCTGCCACAGTCAATGACAACAATGTTGGATACCTTAATGGTACCACTCGTATCTTGGGATTGGTAACCTCGAATGCTGCCAGTACTTGTCCACTTGATATAACTCTCTGGCATCGACGAACCTGTCATAGAGGCATCAACATTGTCCGGGATATGTATGAGAATCAGCTTGTCTTAAATATGAAGATGGATGACACGAAATCCAGTCCAGATCCAATCTGTGAACCCTGCCTCATGGGCAAGCACAGGCGACATAACATTCCTCGTGGTCCCTCACTCCTTCCTACACGCCCTCTTGCAATTGTATTCTCTGATCTCAAGGGACCTATGCCTGTCTCAACGCTGGAAGGTCATCGTTACTGGATCACTTTTATATGTGGTGCCTTACAATTTTGGGTTGTTGCACTGCTAAAGCAAAAGAGCGATGCACTGGCTGAATTCAAACGCTATAAAGCATATGCTGAGAATTTCCATGGCCTGAAGATTTTGGAAGAACAAGATGATGGTGGAGGGGAGTACATGGGTCACCAATTTGACCAGTTATGCATAGATGAAGGAATATCAAGACGTCATACCGAGCCAGATGAACCTCACCAAAATGGGATTGCAGAACGTGCTAACCGTGATATTGCTGAAGGAGCTATTACCATGCTCTATGAGGCCCACCTTTCTCCCTCCTTCTGGGGACTTGCAGTGCTTGCATTTGTACATGTGCGCAACTGTTGCCCTACAGCCCCACTTCCTGGAACAACACCTTATACTGGCTGGCACAAGAAGAAACCTGATGTCTCTAACTTACGCGTTTTTGGCTGCTTGGCCTATGTCCATGTCAAGAAGAATAAACGACGAGGTTTGCAACCCCGTACCACCAAATGTATATTTGTTGGGTATCCATCAGGTACAAAGGCTTGGAAGTGTTGGAACCCTGTGACAAAGAAATTCATCATATCCAGCCATGTCATCTTCGATGAGCGCGTCTTCCCAGGAAATACACAAACACTAACCAACCCTTTCGGTGACTTATTCCCTTCATCATTGGATCTGTCGGATCATCCTGCACTGCCCGATCAAGGGGGAGATGACAACAATGATTCTGATGATCTTCCACCTCCAGACAATCCTCCACCTCCACCAAGTCCATTGCCTCCAACATCTCCACTTCCTGATATTATGACACCCCCTGGATCACCATTCAATGGACCTCTCCCAGAGCTGACTCCTTCACCACCACCACCACCTACTATGGGCCTAGGCAAGCATGAATATAGAACACTCAATGATGGCTTATATGATCCTGGTCCTGGTTATGGCCGTGGAATGCGTCAAAATAAAAACAGTGATCAAAATGCAGAGCAGGCACATACCGTCTTCATGCCAGATGAGGCCATTCTTGCAGGCATAGCATTCTCTGGCCAGTCATCAGCCTTCTTGACAATGGAAGAAGGACTTGAAATTGCTTTTGAGAGTATCACCCAAACAGCTCAAAAGGCATCTACACATGACGGTGAACCTAGATCCTTCCATGAAGCAATGAGGCGTCCTCCAGATGAGGCTGCAAACTGGCATGAAGCAGCTGTACAGGAAATACAAGCACTCATCGAGAATGGTGTGTTTGAGCTGGTCAAATGTCCTCAGGATCGAAAGCCGGTTGGCAGTCGTTGGGTGTTCAAAGTCAAGCGCAATGCAGATGGATCAATTGAACGCCATAAAGCACGACTAGTTGCAAAGGGATATTCACAACGACCTGGTTTTGATTATACTGAAACCTTCTCCCCAACACCAAAATGGGCTGCCTTACGAGCTGTACTAGCACTTGGTGCTCTTGAAGACTTAGAGCTTTGGAGTGTTGATATCTCATCAGCGTTCCTCAATGGCGAGCTAAAGGAGGAGGTGTACATGGAGCAACCAGAAGGGTTTGAAGAAAAGGGAAAGGAATGGGTCTGGCGCCTTTTCAAGTCCTTGTATGGATTAAAACAGGCTGGGAGAGAATGGCACAAGAAACTACATGCGACCTTGACTGATGCCATGGGATTTGTGCGAGTGAAGTGTGAACACAGCATATGGGTTTATAGGAGAGATGATGAGCGCATCATTGTCCCTGTCTTTGTTGACGATATGACCATTGCTGCAAAGACACCAGAAAGTGTCACAAAGGTCATCGATGATCTCAGGAAGCATTTCAAGCTTCGTGATCTTGGTCCAACATCCTATCTTCTTGGTGTTGAAATCAAGCGCGATCGAGCCCACCGATCTCTCTCTCTCTCTCAGCGCCAATATGTCCTAGACATTCTGCACCGTGTAGGGATGGCTGACTGT